TCATAATAGTCATTGCATAATGGAAATTACATAATGGATTAAAGAAAATTCTAACATATTACCTTCTAGAAGCATCTCTTTCAATAATTCAAGCAATTCAATAAAATTTTTGTCAGTCCACCCCTGTCTTGCCTTCAAGTTAATTAATTTTAACACTCTTAACAACTGTGTGAAATTGGGACACCCTGGATACAAAGGCTTATTATTATCTTCACCGTGTCATATCTATATTGTATAACTCTTGCAAAATCCATCACAGAGTACATGTTTTCTTATATCTTTAACACTCAATTGTCTTAAATTCAAACACTTCACACAAGGACAATAAAATCTTTCGGTATTATTAGGCACATTTCTTTGCGCAAATTGTAAAAACTGTTCGACCCTATTCTCATACTCCTCATTTGTACGTCTACAATTTATCCAACTGTGATCCATAGCTATATAAAGAGTTAACAATTGAAGGTTAGTTAAACAAAGGAACAGATCAAGTTATGAACCCCAACCGGTAAATATCCATCATTACAATATATTGAATTTAGAAGAGAGAACCACGATTGCTAATTACAACAAAAAAGATACATCTCCAATATTAATCAAACATATTTCTGGTTAATGGTTCACCTTAAAAGGTCAACTTCTTAATTTATCTAATACATAGTACACTTCAACATGCCTTATGCAAACTAACTCATCACTGATTTAGTATAACAACTTGTCTAATCCCTCAAGACACTCACAGTCTACCATGGTACTAGCTCCTCTTTACAATTACAATTGCTACTTACTAATCATACCATAAAACCTTGATAGATTTTTCCCCTTGTATGTTGTTGTACAACTAAAAATTAATGTGTGTCCTATGCCTAATTTAAACTATATGCATTTTATCCAGTCGCATTACACCTATTCCACTAAATATTTCATTGATGAATTTTATCAAACAAGTAGTTTGCACATGCAGTAAGGATTACAAAAATTTACACATACAATGTTAGAGTTCAAAATACACTATTCTGTGTTAAATAAAAGGAACAATACAATATTAATCCATATATATTCAGCAACGAAGGATGGCATTGGATCCAATAATCAAAGTAAATTAATAAACTATCATACAAATAGGTAAAGTCACTTACTTCAAAGGTAAGCGCAACAAAGTTTGAAGTAATTTTCAAAAAAATAAGATTGTTGTTGTCGCTGAGGTTGTACAAGGGAAAAACAATAAACCCTAAACATGAAACTTGTGAGAAGAATACGTACATGAGGTTGAAATGTATAAAATCAAATTCGAGAAGCAGCAAAATGAAGTTATAAACACTCTTCTACAACGATTGTCGGTAACAATCGATGTAGAAAATTTTTAACATCAGTTGTCAATTACAACTGATGTAGTAAACACATTTAACATCGATTTTGACCAAACGGATGTAAAAAGGTTCGTTAAAATTTTAAAAATGTCACCGCCTTTGTTTTTGCATTGATTTTTTGTTAACCAATGTAGATTCCTATTTAGAAAGCCATTTCTATACTAGTGTAACTAGAAAACTAATTCATCCCATAAGATATGCCTAAAATATTCTTAAGGACTAGCATAAATTACAGAAAGTAGTTAAAAATCATTCACATTCATATAAACCCTCGTATGAATAACATATTCAGAAATGGAAATAATGAAAATATTAATCTTATTAGTTTTCCATAGACACCAAATCCCAACTAATTAAAACCCAAATTGCTTCAACAACCTGTTTTAGGTTAAATTTTTTTTAAATTATCGAATCAACATTTTCTTTACAAAGTCTGGGTTCGAAAATAACTACAAAATTCAATTTATATATAAAAAAAGTAAATAATTTATCAATCTAGAAAAAAAAATTATTATCATCTCTTGTACAGTTATAGAACATAAAATGTCATTAATGGTAAATTTCACGATGCTCTGAAAATGAAGGAGTATTATATGCTCTTATATATGTGAAACAATCATAATCATTAATTTTAGTAAGCATGGAACAATCATAACTATTGATTTTAGTAAGAGTTAGTGGTGTATTTAAAAAAGACGTAAATATCCTTTAATATATTAGTATAATTTAAAAAGAGTATTTAATATACCTTCAAGTTTAAGAGCACCATAGCAAGTACCTTCATTAATTTGAGATAGGTAATTTAATCTGGAGAATTAGTATTGAAAGACTCTTCTTTGTCATTATGATCAAACTAGATATAGGCTTACTATATTTATCAACAGCCAAATCATGCTTAATATGTGGAGGCTTATTAGTAGGAATTTGATCTTCAAAAGTATGATAATTCCAATTTTGCCTACAACTTACAAAGTCTAGCATATCTACCCTATATCCTCCATTCTTAAATTTATGATACAACTCAAAATGGTTTTTTGACCTTCTTGTATGAGTGTTCCTTTCATCTTCATCCTTAACTATTGAACTATTTAAAATATCAAATTTAAAACTTAAAGTTATTCCCATTATTAATGTCACCACTAATAGAGATGTCTTGCATCTTATTCTATCTTGCTTTGTAGGACTAATTGGTTAAAGATGAGTAATAGGAATGCTAGCCACTTTTATAAGGTTATAGTTTCTTGTAGACAAAAAAATAAAATTAAAATTCTTAAAGATAGCAATAGAGATTAAAAATATGATCTTGAAATTATTAAAATTATTATAGTTAACCATTTTAAGAACTTATTTTATGATCCATTTCTTTATTCTCATAAGTTAGTCTTTTTTTTCTCATCTTAAAAATGTTGATTTTGATAAAATAAGTAATAATGATTCTCTAGGTAAAGTGAAAACTAATTTATTTAATATTGACAATAATGGCACGCATCATAGTCTACTTTTTAAATCTTAATGAGATATTTTTTACTCTTATTTTTAAACTTGTTTGTTAAATTTTTATTAATATGCTAAAGACAATAGAATGAAATTATAACTAAAGTTGAATGTTGCATAGATACATATAAATAAAAATAACTAATTATTAGTGAAAGAATATTATTAATTATTTTAAAAGACTTATTTAAAAAAAATAAAAATAACAAATTATAAATTTTATAAAAATAAAATATTATTTAAGCTTTAAAAATATGATGTATATACCTAGGTTATTTTCTTATACCTAGTCAACAATAGAAAAGGATATTTTTATAATTCAATTATCTTAAAAAAAGAAACAATATAATATAAAATGAAATTATAACTAAAGTTAGATGTTACATACATACATATAAATAAAGATAAAAAATTATCAGTGAAAGAATAGAATGATCTTTTTTAAAAGACTTTCTTTTAAAAAAAAAATTATAAATTTTGTGAAAATTAAAATATTATATAAGCCTTAAAAAATATGATGTATGTACATATATTATTTTCGTATACCTAGTATAACAATGGAAAGGAAACTCTCATAATTCAATTATGACTTAAAAAAAGAAACAATGTAATATGCAAATAAAACTTAAATCAGTCACATAAAAATAATAAAAAATTATATTATAATAATGATAATATATATATATAATTTTTATCATTATTATCGTCATAATAAATATAACAAGTTAAATAGAGAAAGCGTGATTATGAGTATAATTGAACATTTATTGCCTCTTTAGCTAATCATCTTAATTAAATTGACGGCTCTTAAAATTAAAAAGAATATATAATTTAAATAAAGTTTATTTAGAAATATTTGTATATTAATATTTTCCAAATCTAATTGTACAAATCTTGTCAATTTTAAAGACCTATAAATTTAATTAATTTATATATTATTAATAAATAAATAAATTTTATTATTTAAATATTTTAAAGAATTAATATAACTTGTGTAAAACTATTTATGTTCAATATTATGTTAATGCATACTTTCGTTTTCTCTATTTAATATAAATAATAAAATTTTTACAATTTATTTAAATTTATTATATTTTTTATTCTTTTATGAAAATATTAAAAATATTAAAGAAATATTAAAAAATGAATTAAAAACTTAAAGTACAAAAGATCAAGCAACATGCAAATAAAATAAATAAATTAAAAATAATTAGTTATAAATTTAAAATTTTACAACTTGAAAAATATAAATATTCAGTTGCTTAATTCTTTTTTAAGAAAAAAACTTCATGTTTCAGTCGATAAAGCATGGAACTCAAAATGAGATTACCGCTATGTTATACTGTTTAAACAAAATTTGTACTTTTGTTTTGTATCTATATTTTGTATTTTCGTTTAAATTTTTTAATTTTATTATTTCATTTTAATTCTGTCATAATCTTCTATTTCAATTTAATTCTTTAGACTTTTTTTTTAATTAGATTATGATTATCTAACATTTAATCTCAATGAAATAAGTTTTTTTATTAATTATATTTAACTTTGTTAATTATCATTTTGTTTTTTTCTTTTAATTATTGTTTTGTTGTTATCACTATCAGTATTTTCTTCTTTCTCCCTTTCATATTTGAATGTTCTACTTAAACATAATTAACAAAAAATAACTACTTAATTGACATTTGAAACTTAAAACCTCAATTTTGAAATTAAAAAGTTAAAAAGATCAAATCAAAACAAAATATAAAATTAGAGAACTAAAGTGCTAACTTTATCAACTTCTTTAAATGTACTAAATATATCTTTAGTTAATTATTACGGACTAATTTCTTTTGAGCCAAACCGAGCATACAATATTTCTATTTGTAACCATTAGTGGGTCTCATCTTGGTTATTGATTCACTCCACCGTTAATTATCAAGTTATGAGAAAGATAATTGGAAACTATTAACACAAGCACTGCAAATACTCACAAATACCCAAAGTATATTACAGTTGGGTACCATAGCTAGTGGCATGTAAAATCATAACAAATTAAAAATGCAAAATTCATCAGCATTCCAAATCATCACTGACCAACCAAGCAATATTCATGACATTATTCTAAACTTAATCAAGGTGTGACACACGACCTTGTAGCTACTGGCAGCTATGACATGGTCCTGCATTGACACCCTCGTTACCTGCCAATACCATATACTTATCTTTCCTTGTCAAGCTGGTGCATTCAAATCCTAAGGCATTCCCAATTTCATGTTGCACAAAATTGGCAACTTCAATTCTGCATTTCCCACCTTGATGACATGTTTGTGACATTGGTAACCTATCAAGGATTTTAATAAAGTATGTAGGATTTGGGTTCATGAGGTGAAAAACAGGATCCAAACATTTATGCCCACTAGCTGTTGTTCCATAGAACATGCTAACCTTAACATCAACAGCCACAGGAACAATGTCATCTGTAAGTTCAGCAAACAAAGGACTAAACCTTAATAAATAAGGTTCCCTGCAAGTTGTCCCCTCAGGACACACCACAAGGTTGCCTTGGCTCAGCAATTTGTCCATTGTTTCTCTGTCCTTCTCTCTGTCCCTTGTTAGTCTTATGGTTTTGATGGGGGCAACTAGCTCATTGAATCTACTTAAGCTGTATGTTACTGCAGAGAGAGGTTTGTCCAAAACGTATGCAATGTAAAGTGGGTCCAGTAAGGTTCTGTGGTTGCACACATAGAGCATGCCCTTCTGGTTTTTTCCATTTTGTGCCAAAGATAAAGGGCTTTTGGGTTTTGATAGAGTGGTTCTTGTCCCTGAAAAGGCCAATATTGGAGCTGACACATTGAAGGGCAATGCAATGCCAAATACAAATCTGAAGATGGAAAGAAATAGTCCAAGGGGTAACCACAGGAAGAATGCTAGAGAAGACGCAGGGGTTGGCCTGAAAGCCAATCTTCCATCATGGAAGATCAATGGTTTTGGATACCTATCTCTTGGAAGGACACGCCAATTTCTCCTCTCATCAGAGCTTAACATTAAGCAAACCTTCTGCAGAAACAGAACAGGTTAGAAATGGTATGTGTGTGTGTGTATACTGTTGTATATATTTAACTTAAAAAGGCATGTATATGTGTGTAACTATGTATCAAAGTGTGTCCTTAAAAATGGCCAAACCTTGAAATGGGGGGAAAGTTCTTGGTCAATATACTCAATATGGCTATCAATAATACCAATACTGTTGTCATTGCCTGCTTTAGCCCCATATGAAGGGATTTTGTTTGGCTTCTTTTTCTCAAGCAATCCCAAAAAGTACCCATTGAAGCACTTTATGTCTCTTGCTATAACAGCCTCAAACCCTAAGTAGTCCTTTAAGAATCCTTCAACCATGATCCTAGGCAACTTACTTGAGGCCACCTTTTTCTCACAACACATCACAGCTTCAAACCCTTCCCACCCCATATCTTCCAAGAAGAACTTTGGCAGAACAGCTGATCCTATTCTGAATGTGTCCTTTTTTATGCCAAAAAAGCACAAGAATACCATGATCTTCAAGCCTAGTTGGTCTTCACCCACCAACCACACCAAAGGGTATGAAAGAAACAGGATAAGAGATCTTAGTAACCCACCAGCTTCAAAAGCAACTAGCATGAAGTAAGGGAACAATGAAGTGGATCGTAACAAAGTACCCTCAAAATCAAAAACTAGTGCTTTGTTAGCCAGTTGTGCAACCTTGTGAACAAGAGAAACAGGTTTCATTTTGCTGTAACGATGGAAGGGTCTTTAGTCTTTGGCTTTGGTATTGCTGGCGCCTTGAGACTAGTTCAGACAGAAATTGAAAATTGAAAATATAAGGCACTTCAAAGGCTGAAGAGTGTTTTATCCTTTAGCATCAGTTGACACACTGGACTGTGATGTTTCACAGTCACAGAAGCCAAAGAATTTAATAAGGGAAGATTACGTGGCTGAGTGGTCATGTGGCCATTGAATGGCTTAGCAATTTGGCATAGCTTCTTTGCTATCAACTTAGAGGTTACGTTTATGTAGCTGAATAAAGGACACTGATGAAGTGCTGACACCATTAATCATCCACACTAGGCCACAACCGTACGTGTATGCTACACCTACTTACTGAACTAATTTTTCTTTATTAATGGTATGGCAATGTTATATCTCTCAATTTAATAAAAGAAGCATGTTATTCTAGGCTTGTATTTTTGTTAAAAGTAAATTAAATCATTTTTTTCGATTACTATTAGGTGCAGTTTATCAATCAACTTTATATTTTGCTCTAATTTTTGTCACTATTAAATTTCAATCCTACTCAACAACTACTTAGGCTTTTAACAATTTGTTATGTGGCCCTTCAACAATTTTGTGCACGTTTATGAGATTAAAGGTGAGCTATAAAAATTATTATTGTAATCTGTCCGAGGGGCACCTGCTATCAGGAACAGTTAGAAAAAGTTATTTAAATTTGTAAAAATGACATATTTTTTTTTATTATGTTTTGACAAACTTTGTATTGCCTGTCAAAGCCTTAGCATAAGCCTTTTTGCTTATACGGGTTTGGAAACGACCACAAGACCATAAACAGAATTAATAAGAAACTTTTGGGATTTTAAAGTATCTAATTAAACATTTAATCGAAATATACTTGTAAAGCATTATTATTTTGGATTGGGTTACGAAAGTGGAATATGCAGAGCAGCAAGGTGAGGAGTTGATAATACAAGCAGAAAAAGAAGATTGCACGACCATGATAAAGTAAAAGGATAAATATTTATTAAATGTTTTTTATTTACCTCAAATTTTCTTTTAACTATTGGAATTGTTGGGTAGGGAGGAAAAAAAGCAATCAAAGGATGGTAAGACTTTCTTTGAAAATTAATATTCGGAGGGGAAGGACAAAAATGAAAAATTTATTTGATGGTAATTATTATTTAATATTTTAAAAATATATTAAACTCTTATATCAACTTTAATTATTAATTAATTATAATTATATTTATCATAATTTTAAATTTAAGTCTTAATTAATATAATTATGTGAAATGTTTATAAGAAGATTATTATTTATAGTGACCATATTTATCTCAAATATAGTCATCTTCCGTTAAAAAATACATTGTAATTTTAAAAAATATATATCAATTATAATATGATTAAATAAAAAATTATAAAAATTAAAATAATAATAACTTATAAAACTGAAATATTCAGACTCGTGATAAATTCAACTAACTCAAAATTAGTCAAAAACTTAATTCATTTATTAACTCTTCGAATTTAATTCACAAATCAAATAAGTTGAAATTAAGTTAAAATTTTAGTTAATTAAAAAATTTAGGTGAATTCTACTTATGTTTAATTCAGCTTATTTGGTGGTAAATTTTTATCATTGTTGAATTCATAGAATCAATTTTCTACTTAAATTCAGAATTATTTATGGTTTTGTCATATATATTATCTTATTTTATTTGAAAGAAATAGAAAATATACATTGTATCATCAATTATAATGTTTTAATTTAATAAATTTAAATTGAATTTACAATTTTATTTTTTTTATTTGTATAAGACTTTATTTGAGAGTTTAGAGAGAAATAAGAAGTTGTTTAAAGAATAAAGAAGAGGACAAGAGAAAGAAAGTAATATATATATATATATATATATATATATATATATATATATTAATTTTAAAAAAATGAAAACATGATTTTATGAAAGTTTTTGAGAGTTTATAAAAAAAACATTTCTCATGTTTAAAAATTATCATCAAGTAAATTTTATCTTTTTTTTTCATATTTTTAACTCTCAAACAAAATTTAGAATTTATTTGAAAAATTTTGTGAATAACTTATAAGAAATAACTTATAACTCTCATGTTTTAAATTTATCTAAACAAGTTTTATAACGTAACTTATAAAAATAAGATGTTTTTAATTTATTGAAAAAAATTTCATTGTAAAATTTATGAAATAAACTATAATTTTAAAAAGAAATTATTAATAAATGATTATCCAATCACACTTTTAAAGTTACCAACCAACTATGATCTTGAATCTAACATTCAAATAAGTTTCACTATTTGTTGGTGTAATTCAAGTCTAGAGTAACGATAGAGCGTGTTGTTAACATTCATGTTAAAGTCAATAAACTAAAATCAATCGAATCAAATTTGAGTTTAAATAACAATTGCTATCATCTTCACATCAAGATGAATCAATTCTTATGGAGTAAATTGTGAATTGAAATGAACACACTTTTTTTGACACGGACTCTGAACCACATTATACAACAGTTATGATATAACAGTAGAGAAACGTTAGTATTATACTTTTTAATATATATTTTTTAAATACGTTCATAATTATTTATTAAAAATTATGTTAATTTTATTTTTTATTCTTAATTGAATATTTTTATAATATTAAATAAAATTTAATTAATAATTAAAAGTGTATTAAAAATAACAATATTAGAAAGCTGTTATATGAACATAACAGCTGGACCATGGGACAATGCGGCACCTCGTAATCCTATTTGAAAAAGAAATAGGCCACCACTATCCTGCTCTTTCTTTAAGGTATGTTTGGAAGGAGAATGGAAAGATTGTCTTTTTTAATTTTAAATTAAAATAATTATATATTATTTATAATAACAAATACATAATAAATATATTAAATTTATAATTTTTATTTTTAATAAATAATAATTTTAAATATATTTAACTAAAATATAAAATTTATTTTACCCTCTCTTCTAATTCCCCGTTCCCAAACAATAGGTAACGTACTCTTGGTAACTAGAGAGAGCCCTAGTCTCGGAGTAGCGAGGCAATTAGTGGCATCGTCTATAGAATCAAATTATTATAGAAGTACACATAAGGAGTAAAAACAATAGTTTCATTAATTCATTCATAATGAATAAAATATATACAGCATATGATAATTTTTATTATATTTATTAATTTAAAAATTATTTCATAAGCTAAATGTATCATAAATTATTAAATATTTAGATAAAATAATAATTTTAAAAATTAATGTAAAAATTTGATAAACAAATTTAATTTTAAAATTTTATAAACATAATTAACTAAAAAACATTTAAAAGATTAAAATTATATACAATTCCAATTAGGAATAAAAATACAATTGAATATATTATCTTAATATTTTAAAATTATTAAAACAATAAATAATTTAAAGGAGGTCTTTGAAAAAGCTAAGATAATTGTTCTTACGTATATTATTGCGAAAGCTTCTGTATTTTGATTAATATTGTGGAGATTGTAGGTAATGCAAGTAATAACACTGTGCCTGATGGCAGGAAATTATATTTAAAGGACAGATGTCTCATCTACCGTTTCAGAAGTGCATTTAAGCAATGAACACACGCATGATGTAGCTGCTAGATAGGGTTAGGTGGACGACAGAGAAACACATAATTGTTAGTAATAGTTACTTACTGATAATTACATGCCATTAGAACCGGCGAAAGGTAATATAAAACCACCAATAGCATGTGAAAGAAAACAACATATATCAAATAATAAATCACGTGTAAGTTAATGCTCTTGAGACATCTCGCAAACTAATTGATTTGTCTTTTAATTTTGGCCAAGTGTCTGGTTCTTCCTGAACCATTGTCTGAAACTAGAAAGTGCAGTGTGCTGCAGTCTGGAACTATCCATTTATCAGGAGTCAGAGCCGGATTTTAAGCTTTGCAGGAGATTCATGCATCAATAATGAAATGCAAATATTTTATAAATAACTTTTAGTTCTCTTTTTATTTTTTGGATATACTTTTTAAATCTATGTATATGAAATTTAAAGGTGATTAAATACTAATTATGTAAAATATTAATTGTTCATTATTTAAATAATAGACATGATTATTATTGGAGACAAGTTGAGCATTATTGATATTTAGGAGTTTGTTTTCAATACATTATTATATAAAGTAGTTTTAATAAAGAAATTCAATGAATTTAAGAAATCACATTACTTTATTTATTTTTATATGCCATTTAATATTTCTATACACAAATAAACAAATATAATTTATATGTTACAATTTTTAAAATATTTCAGCAGGTCATTGTTTATATATGATTGTTTATTTATTTTTTACTTTTATATAAAAATTATTTTTTACTAAAGATATTTGATTATTAAGTACAATTTTGTTAACTTTAATTTTAAATATGAGTTTAATAAATTATATTATGTAACATGACAATAATAATTATAAAAAAATTTCATTAATTGAACATTCAAATTAATTCTTTTAGTTAGTATTTTACTTCTAAATATAAGTTTTATTTTTGGACAACATATAAGGTTAATTGGAAGTGCAGGAACACTCTTTGCAAGATGACAAATAGTTACTTAATTGTGAGCTCCATTGTTCTGTAGTGTTTGTACCTTACATTTCGGCAAGTATTTGAATGCGCCTTCCCTGAATATAAGCGAACCATAAATAAATTTTGTATATAATGTAAGATGATTAATTTCTAAACGAGAAAAATTTTAAGAATATTTTAAAACGAAAGTGTTTTGAATAATTAAATATTTTTACTGTGTTAAATAAATTTTTACAATACATATTTATTTTTTAATTTTATTTGATATAATATAATTTACTTATAATACTTATTTTTTTAAAATTTAAGAAAGTTATAGAATACATTTTTATATAATATTTAATAGAATATTTACTTATCAATTCAATTCTTAAATAAATTTATATATTATGTTAATTATAATAATCAACTTTTAAATAAATCAAATAATTATTTATATTTT